GAAGATATCTGTTGCTTGTGCCGAGAGAGAAGAACAGAATCTGAGGAAAGAATCCAAGGATAAGGAGGGTCTAGAAGCGTACGGAATGTTGAAGGAAGGAATAGGGCTCAAGGACTGCCTACATGGACCAATGGATGAAGGAACAAAGCTTGAGGTCAAATTCAGAACCGGGGACATAGGCCCTCGAGAACGTCGACGAAGACATATGACGGTAGACGACGAAGACGACGAGTTCAAATGTAATTGCGGCTTCGAATGCGAAGGCCGTGTTCATGTAGTCGCGGAATGTCCGTTGTACAAGGAGAGGCAAGTGTACGCGACTGAGCTGGGAAAAACAGATGGAACGTGCAGGGAGATGTTTGAGGCATGGAATAGAGAGGAAAGGACGGTAGCTGTACTGGGGCATAGGAGGTGGGTTGAAAAGGCGGGAAGGGATATCGTTAGGATGGGCAGACTAGGGAAGACATTTTTGAGCCACCTTTGGCAAAGTAGAAAGGAACGATTGGCCATCGGTGATCGGTCCTATGGGAACAATGCTCCGTCCTCTCGAGGACGCGTGGTCAATGGTCTAACCGCTAAGACATGCAAAACATAAGAGTACGCCCCAACATTGTTCGCTTGCGGCGGGCCTCGCTGCCCTTGCCTGAGGCACGCCTTCGGCGTGGCTGAGCAGTCACAGGGCTTAGAACTATCCAGAAAAGAGACTACCAGTTGATGCAAATGGTTGATGAGGCAATGAGATTTGTGTATGCAAGATTACAGCAGTTTACATAACGACTGGCAAAAAAAAATAACGACTGACGGCTTCTTGTTGATATCCTCCTACACAGCACGCCCGCCCGGGTATGACGACGCGGGTTTACGCCACATATTATTTGTCGCATTTGGGACTTTGCATTTTGTACTTCCATGTCTAGTAGCATTTTTTTTTTTTCCTCACTTCAAATCAGCGCTCACAGGGTGCTGTTTACTCCAACCCGTGGTCACACAGAAGAGCCCCTCTCTACCCTCCCCTCCTGCGGTACTCTGCCTTCGATTTTCAATACGAGAAGAGTTCAGCACTCTCTTCCCTCTGTGTACACACGAACTAGCGCTATCCACTAGGCCAGGAGCGGAAGCGAGAGAAAAACTCACTTTGCAAGAAAAGCTCGCTTACGCCGGGATTCTAACCCCTGACCTGGCCTCGAGAAGGTTTCGGGGATACCAACTTCTAGACCTTCGGGGCGACCGGGCAGTTGAAAACTTATGCACACATGGAGACGGCAAGGCTACACACATGATGTAGGCCATGCATGCGATACGTACAAAGGCTGTGAAGACGGAATCTGTCAGCAACAGAAAGACTTGACCATAGTCTACTCGGTGGCCTGCAGGGTCGACACCCGTGGCTCGGAGAGGCCGATGAAACGCTCGGTTCTACAGCAGTGCGCATATGTACTACGCACGTGCAGGCGACGCTAGGTTCATCTTCATGGGCCACGAGAGAGCAAGGATGCCCAGCGTTTATCCGTTCCTGAAGTGAACAGTAGCCGTGAGAGTTGCAGAACAATACGCAACATACAGTATGCCGGCAAACGCCACGGATGCATAATACACACCAAACGAACTCCACGAAAAGGTTCAAGACCACTTGGGAATGGAAGCATACGAAACGTGGCATAGAGAGGGCTGCGTATATTTCTCACCTCCGTACGATAGTACAAGGAATACACCGGAGTTTAAGGCACGGAGTTTTACAGCCTCTGCCTCTCGCGAGTTACAGCCCTCGCGCACCAGTGCAGTGCAACGCCTCCTGTTGCTTTCAATGGTCCCCTCTCGTGCTACCAGGGAGTGCAGAAGTTTCGCGGCGTGTGCTTTTGTAAGGGCGAGCCACTGATGAGAGACGGCAGGGAATATGTAGACCAAGGCACCAGGGTGTGACAGGAGCGCGACGACACAATGACGTGGAACAAGCGCCCCGAACCCGAGGAGCAACAGAAAATTATTCGTAAATGATTCGCGAATGAAATTGACACACCTGTTGTTGTTGTTGTTGTTGACTTCACATTAAACCGTATGCCAATTGCTAAATGCCAAAATCTAGCAAAGACTCTCGGTCCGTGGTCACGAAAGTGCTAGAGCCATCTGAGGATCTAAAGAACACGCACACGTAGCAAGAAAAAGGTGACCGAGGGACAATCCGAACCGACACAACGATATTTTCCTATTCTCCGTGGACAGCGAGGCCCCGAGAGAAACAAAAGCAGCTGGCCCAACATATCTCATGATCTACAGCGGTAGTTCTACACTGAGCCTCGCAGAAAGCACAGCCGAAGTTTACGATGTTGTTGTAACTGCATTGTGGCGCTGAGCGTGTCAACGGTTTAAAAAAATCTGGGACCCATCAAATCGCGAACCCCGAAACGAGCGGTGTATCAGCAAACAGCAGTATTTTAGTAGCAACGGTTGACCGGGCCGGAAGATGGTTGACGTGCATACTATGAGATGTGAGATATGATGCGTGCGCATAACCTACGTAGCGAACGGGCACAACGTTGTACTTGCTACCAGAGGCAAGATAGGCGCTAAGATCTATCGAAGGTGTGCAGGGCGGTGTGAGAGAGAAAACTGCGGGTATGTTCCCATGCATTGGAGATATATAACTGATTTAAGAGTCTGCAGTAGATGTGGTGCGAAGAAGAAAATTGGCGGAAAAAATGCTCGGCTTGGCCGATACAATGAGCCGAAAGCTGACAGGACGAGAGGACACACAGAAAGAGCGACGTTACGCTTCGTGTCAGTTGGCCGACCTCTTGGTGTTGTCCGATGCCTACACGGCGGTGTTGTGCATCGAGTTTGCAGCTCGACGGGGGAAGAACAACTGCGCGTCGTACCTTGCTCGGATCGAGATTGGCAGCAACGACGCTCTATTTTGTATCTAGACCAATGACATTGCTGTACAGTTGGCGCCCGCAGTTAAGAAACGCTTATTTCAGGTCCAGCCTCGAATTCTCATTGTGGGCTATAAACTCAGCGTATGTCGTTCGGTTTCTTATTTCAAGTTTCTTATTTTTTCGTGCAGCCAAGTCCTGCTGAATTTCTCAAATCGGCAATTTCTGGTGTCTCTGCTTGCATACTAAATACATACACAACGTTCCATATATACAAATGATTTGCACTGCTTTCCTCGACCCCCGTACTCGACCCCGATTCTCACTACCGACGGCTGCACGTAAGGCCACCACTCCCTAGAAGCGAAACGTATCCAGCGGCAACGTCTCGCTATCGCTCCAAGGTCCTGTACCCCCCTCATGAGTGAGGGCTGAAACTAAACAAATGCATTAACACCGCATGATGTCTCACCCACACGCTGACGTGCCAACAACGAAAACTACCCCGTCATTATGTTGCCAGCTCCGTGAGGCGAACATTGGGGGTTGTCACCCTTTTGCGCTTCCCGCTCCCTTCCCTTGGGTCTACCTCTACGAGAACCCACGCCCCAATTGCGGCGTCTTCAGCCGTGCTGTACGACTCCAACGGCATCGTCATGCTACGCGTGCTTTCGTCACAGTGCAGGATGACGCGGTAGTCGTACTCCTGCCGCGGAGCGGGGTGAGATCTGCGACTAATTACCCGAACCAACCCAACCCGAGTTTCACGAGAACCTCCCCCCTCGTCGTACAACAAATCGTAAAATGCACTATCGGAGGGGGGGGGTCGGGGGAGAGGTGGAAAGAGCGAGAGAGCTGTGGGGTTTGTTTCTTATTCGACACACTCCCCCGTAAACCCTCGTTTCTTTTGTAGTAGGGCAGCGGTCGCCGCCGTGTTTCTTATTGAGACATTTATATTTGTGTGACCCAGATTGAGCTATGTTTCTTAACCCTATTTTCTTGTTTTTCGTGAAAAAGTCAGCCTCAATTTCTTAACAAAATATTTCTGAACTGCGGGCGCCAACTGTAGTCTAACTAATTGATTACACAGGATACACACACCACGACCGATTTTCAACACTACACGATGAAGAGGGTGTACAAAATCAAGCGACACGACAACCGGAAGCTCTCGACGAGGCAGGTACAGCGCCGCCATTGGCAGCACCGTTGCTGTTGCTGCTGTGGAGTAATCGAGCTTTTAAATTCGGTCCCGAGGGTGTGGTATCTTGAGTCAAATCGCCTACGATGTTCACGCGTAGGACAACTCGAATTTCAGTTAGTCTTCCGGCAACACATATCGACCAGTAAAACAAATGCCCTTCCTCAAAACACCTCACAGAACTCTCATTTACTGTGATCGACGCAACATTACATTAGGCACTTAGATGGACAAACAACAAAAAAGAAATTCGATGTTGTTTGCGTTTACCCGCCGCCGCTCTCGTTGTCCTTCCTACAAGATACCCCACCGACAGAGGTCTTCCTTCTCTTGCCTCAGCAAGAGCTGCGGGAACACACAGCAGAAGCCCGAAGTCCTCTAGACTGCTATTTACCCGAGAATACCACTGTCTTGCCTTGATTTTGTGAAGCAAAACGAAATAAGCTGCAGCATCAGCCGCCCTCCCTCGGGCGCTTTCTTCTCAAGTGCAGCAGTCTCGCGAGCGGCAACATCGTCACGTCATCATCGCTGGCATTTGCGATGAACTCTCCACTAGAAGCCGTCAGCAATTCAAGCATGTATCATCAAATGCACCCATGTGTCCCATTCTTAGTCTACGAAGAACGGACGGCTTTTGCACTTGTTTTTAGGCATACAATCCGACACCACCAACAACCCAACATTTTCATGATGGACACCGCAGTTCTAAGTGCCATTGAAATGTTCAACGCCTACCGCAACCCGGTTGATCCTATTCACATTGTCTCGACAACAAGTAAACACTAGATGGTTGAGGTTTGTCTCGTCCTTAAACGCTGCCTTGGGAGGCAGCCAGCCGTGCACACGCAAGAAACCGTCAGGCAATCTAGAGGCCACGTCGATGACGGTCATCTCTAACCCCGCCCCATCATGAACAAGAGCTCCGCAACTCAAACCACCGCGGCGGCTACGTCAATTGTAGGCCGAGTCCCCGTTCACTCCAGCAAAAACAAACAACAACAAAATCTGGCTTCCTGTTCCCCCCCTACAAGACCCTATCCCCTTCGACTTTTGCCTCCAGCGTTTCAAACGCGTCAACTCAATACACTATTTGTTTGGTATGCTTTCCCAAGATTCCGACCAGTTTTTTCGAGGCCCATGTCCCGAAAATGATGTATCATGTCGAACCACGTAAGGTACACCACGTACGACATCAAGCAGCAAGCCGTCCCTATTACCCCCTACCCCTGAGAGCGCATCGCCGCATCGTTTGCGCGAACTTGTCATTCTCTGTCATGTCATTCTAACATCTTGGTACTCAATCCAACGCGAACCTCATCAATAATATACAAAGATGAATTCATCCGTTCAACCAGTCACCTCCTGTTCCGCACATGTGCATAGCGACCGCGGAAAATTCTGGAATTTTTCCGTCAACACGGAAACACCACGTCATCCCCATCGGGTCGTACAGAAGTCATGGGTGCTCCTGCTCTAGATCATGGAGTATTCGACACCTCCTTTGGACATATGGCGGCGATGCGTTTTTCATATCCAACCGAGTAGCCCAGGGGGTCCACACCAAGATTGATTTTGCACCGCACAAGGTGGCAAAGTGCCGATGCAGAGGATACCAAGGGTGCCACAAGGCTCTACCGCCCTAACGCGGCAAGGCAAATTATTCTCATGGCCGTGCTGTTGTCTCTCCCACGGGCAAAACAACAAGATATTTAGAGCTCTGGCCACCAAACGTCTCGCCGAACCCCGGAACGACCTTCAAGTGTTGCATGCATGACATAGGTAGACGTAGCATATGGTAGACTACTCCTTCAAAACATCTATGGTGCGACGTTTGGCTGTCCACTCGTTAGGAGAACGCGAACCAAGATGGTTGGGGTGCTTCCGGCTCCAAACCATTCCACTCCACATCGGCACCGCAAATGTACGCCTTGCAACACGTCCAACCGCCACCCCGCGCGCCACAAAACGGAGGAGGCAGAAGCGCCTCCACCAGCGGGAATACGACGCCCCACACCACAAGCAACGCCAACAAACATAAAGAAACCTGCGGGCCCTTAATGACATTTAACACTTCTGCTGCTCTCGTCGAGTGCACCTAGGGTACGTCCTCCACTGAGACGGATACGATCCGGGGGGCACGCAGAAGGTTCCCTCTCGCGAGGGAATACGTACCCATCTCGGTATCACGGGAAGGGGTTCAACGACAACGACAGCAGTAGTCTTGCCCTCACAACAGACATCCAAGAAATTTACACTCGCGAACACGCGCCTTTCAACTCTTACCGGCATGAGATGCCGGGACTTTTTTCGTCCACGAACTCGACCATCCACCACGGGATGCGAGGATACCCTGACGCTTTGTTCGTAAACACATCAAAACCGGAGCGATGCGCCACCCACCCACCGATGAAAAACCCTCAGTAGTACGACATGGAGGTCTCGCGAGTCGCTCGCGGCCCGTGGGAATCGACCTTGTTGTCGCTGCTGCCCTTGACATTGGCCGCGGCGGAACCGGCGGTGGGGTTCCCCGAGCCAGACAAGGATAACAGCGGGCCTACTTGCGAGGCGGCGCTCCAGGAGCTGGTGGTGCTGTCTCCTCGAGGCATCGATTCGGGGGTAGAGGGCGGAGTCTGGGTGGTTTTCTCGGTGAGCGTGGCCTTGACCTGTCGGTCGCGTTCGGTCCACCGGTCCCTCATGCTGTTGCGACAGCAGTTCGACGGCATCGCAAACGGGTCGAAAGCCGTAAGCGAACGGGAACTGTAAAGCGTCACGGGACTTGACAAGAATAGCACAGCAGCTACGTATTAAGTACACCTCGTAAAGGTGTTCAGCAAACCCTTCATGAAGA